CAGTCTACACACCATATCATTGATATAGCATATCAGTTTATCGTGTTGTTATATATATTTACATTATACCGGACCATGGATACTGACCACCATGATTTTGTTTAAGACCAGCATAGAAAACATTAACGATAGAAAGCATCAGAATAATGTGATGTAAGTCCTCCACACAGCACATTGTTGATACCGTAAATGTCAACAAAACAACACCAATTATACCTACCACAAATGAGTACACTGTAATTGCATTATACCATGCCATATATAGATGCATTATAATGCTGTGTCCATCATGCACCAATATTGATCCCACAACATATTTAAAAGTGAGCATGAAAAATTAAATTCATTCATCAAAACCCCCGTTGATAAAGATCCCGACAATACTGCATATGCCAGTACATTACATAAAACTATGGAAACATCGTACGTGTTGACATCCTGATGGCTGGTTTGATTTAAGTTCGTTTGTTTTTGACAGTTTATTACAGTTCTAACGATTTATAGCAAATACCTTCATAACCTACCGTTTTATTATGTGACAATGGTGTATGTAGTTACATATAAAACTGTGCGAGGAAGATTTGTTCGACATTGTTAAATCTGTCAATGTCATATGAAAAACACCCAGTCAAGTGTGTACAGGCTACTGGTATGACTCTGTGACTTATGAGGGAAACAGAACTGGATGTCGGTATTTTTATGATCTTAAAAATGAAATAGAAATTAAATTTATGCAAGTTATATTATATAATTTGATATTGACGACAGGTGACACTGAAATATATAATAAATTGAATTGTATTGTACTGTTAAATTATCAGTATATCTTTATATATATACCGGTATGCATACGTGTATGTAATTTTGTATTTCATATCATTAAATTTGCAATTTACACAAAAAATTACTGTCTACAGACAACGCTTACTTATAATTTGATACTGGTCTTGGTTTCGTCCCTTACGTTTATTTCATTAGAACGTATTACGGTAAACGGGAAACTTTCGCCAAATTAAATATTCGCCCTTCACTGGTAAAATCTGTATTCGCCGAGTTTGAATTTTGCCCTTCACATGTTATAACTATAGTGGATAAATTGTGTACAAATATTAGCTTTTATGATAAATTATCTAACCCTTATTGAAGATGCAGAAAAGGCGAAAACTAGCATACTGAAAAAAATACTTGTATGAAGTACACACAAAAAAGGAGTTTCAATCTAAGAAAGCTCTTTTGTATTAAAAGAATTAGATATACATGATAAAAAGACCACATACCTGTTAGATAGGAAAGCAGGACACAGATCCCTAAAAGCTTCGCCATTTTGTCGTCCGGTAACTCTAATGACGAGAATGATTAAATGGTTACGTAAGAACACGACACTAGACACGGTAGTCTGTCCTACAATTTAAATGGATTGCAATTCAATAGAACCCATACATAAGTACAACAAGCAAATTCGTGGAATTTATATCCCCCGCTTGCAGGACATATTGTAGGTTAACATTATTGAGGTTATATTTAAACATGTGAGTATTGTGTTGTTGAGACACAATGTATAGCTTGAAACTTGAAGAAGAAAACAAAGCCCTATACCTCATTGATTACCCGTAAATATGCACAAATCACATCGGTTGGCAAACTTAGCATGAGTTGGATGTGCATAAGGAATTTGGTTGAAACATCTTAACAATATCTATAGCAATTATCACACGAAAACAAAAGAGTGCCCGAGATGGGTGGAAAGACAGAGGAACACAAACATTGTTATCAAATTTGAAGGAATTTGGCTAATATTTGCTTGAGTTGTTAAGAGGAAACTGCATATAAGGACGTTTTTCATTAAGCAAGGGGCTATAACTACAAAATGGAATCCCATTAAAGTGATTGTCAAACTTGGCCGAGCCCTTAATGCATTGAACCCTGTTATTAAGTATGAAGACAATCAGATAATATTTGCGAGAGTTAATGAACAGAAACGGCAGATAATGACGTTTTTCGTTATTCAAGGGGCCATAACTCCGCTAAATAAACTCCGTTGAAAATAGTCATCGAACTTGGCCGAGCCCTTAAGGTATTTAACCATGTGACCAAGTTTGAAGAAAATCGGTTAACATTTGTTGTAGTTATTGCACGGAAACGAAGTGTGACAGACAGACAGACAGACAGAAATTAATATCCCCCGTTCCGGTGAAAACGGGGGATAATAACAAAGAGCACGGTCAAGTCTGTGTATCTTATCATGTATATGTCTATTCAACCTTACCCAAAACTAGCACACTCAACGCTCCAAAGGGTTCCTGTTTTGAAGTAATACACACGAGACAGACAGACAGATAGACAGGCAGACAGACAGACAGACAGAAAATAATATTCCCCGTTTCGTTGAAAGCGGGGGATAATAACAAAGAGCACAGCCAAGTCTGTGTTTATTATCATGTATATGTTTATTCAACCTTATCAAAACTAGCACAATCAACGCTCTAAAGGGTTCCTGCTTTGAAGTATTACACACGAGACAATCATTGTATTTTTTATTCTTTGTACCTGTACATAATTATATAACACGCCAGAATTGTGCAGAACTATCAGTGTCCAGTAGTGCCCGTAGAAAGAAATGTTAAATGAAAGGGGGAAAAACCCCAGAAATACTGATTTAAGTGAGAATGTCGTTTATTAATTTTAATCTACGTCCACATTAACTCATTCTACCCTGAATACACCTTAAACTCTTCTAATTCAAGGGTTGGAAAAGTTTATAATGAAATTTCAGGGGTTAATGAGTTAACAACAAATAATCAACGGTTACATCACCCTGAGACAAACTAGTACTAGTGCGATTTACGATACCATTCATAAGCATGGCTCATTAAACAACCGGGGGGAAGTTTCCAAAGAATTAAAGTACCATTACAATTAAAGGTATGCCTCATTAACAGACCTATATTGAATAATTCTGATTCGCAACAATGGATGGTCCTACGGCGGTTTTTCTCCGGGAACTCCGGCTTTCCTCCACCACCAAAATCTGGCACGTCCTTTAATGGCAACTCAAACAAACCAAACCTAAGGTAGCAGTGTACAGTAGCGTACGGTGGCCATAGGTGATATTTTTGTACAATTTATAAATCCTGTAATATTATATGTATCAAAAAAATCCAATGAACGACCTATGCTAAAACGTGAGTATTTCTGTTACCGAGTAGGTGATATTTAATTTAAGACAGGTTTTAAGTAAAAAAAAAAAATACTCTTTGCGTGGGTCAAATCATATTTTTTATTGCAGTTGTTTGCGTTTTTTGATGTGGTAACCATGGTTTTCACAAGTCCCAAATCTGGGGATATCTCTTTTTGAAAAAAATATCATTCTTTTAAAAAAAACGTATTCAAAATGTAGTTTATAAACACATTTATATAGGTAGGTGTGTTGTGCAGGATGAATCCGCTATCCATGTTTATCCGAGACATGCCCTTTATTTTTAGGGTCAAGCCATTTCTACTGTACTCTGCTACCTAAGGCGTCAAGAGGCTATATAACACTACATATATCTAACTAGCCTCCTATGTACCGATCTAACTATCTTTGTGTACTAGCTAGGATCTAGATCAGATGAGAGTCCGTCTATCAGATTGTTTGGGGAAATAGGACCTATTAATTAGATGACCCCTGAATAACAAACATTTGCAACAAGGAAATTAACATAACTCAGAAAAGCCCAAAACGACACTATGCAGGTAAGATATATATACCAAAACAATGAAGAAACTGGATGGCAGTAGTAACCCTAAGAGTGTATTATCATCCCTCGCTTTTCGAAGAAAATTAATTTAGGCCCGGCCGTCCGTCCGTCTGTCCGTCTCTCACGTTTCAGTTTTCGCTCGTCAATGTGATCCTTGCATATTTACGCATAATAAATTACTCTTATACATTCTGATTGGCTTATAAGTTTCCATGCAATAAGTGTGGTAATAATGGTCTGATTTTAATACATGGTCCAGCCTCCATTTGCTCGTCAATGTGATCAATGGAAATTTACGCATAATAAATAACAATTTATTTATTAGTTAATTCATGATTAGCAAAGGTATTAAAACACTCTAACTATACATCGTAACCTTGTCTTGTAGTCAGTGACTGCGAAATATTGTAAAACATCTCATTTTTGAGGTGTCCAACATTTCTTGCTGAGGATATAGGCATGGGAAGTAACCCACTATACGGAATATAACTCTCCTTACTGATGATCAAAGGGAGATCACTCTTGTAACATAATCCTTTCGTATGGAGAACAATGCTTTGAAAGACCCTTAACTTTTCTCCTGTAATTGATTTCTATATATCAAATATATGACGACAAATAACTGCACCTTGTCATTTCCCAGACTAGCAAAGCTCAGGATATCAATCATTCAAATCTATATATGGTATCCAATGAAATTGTTGTATACTCGAAATGAAAATGAAAATGAAACGTTTCCATAGTGACACGAGTGACCAATGAAATTGGGCTTCACCCTAGAACTTTTCTAGCTGTTAAATTTCATACAATAGCTTATCCTGACCCACTAGCCATTTTGAAACAAGTTGAAGGCCTATTTCTAAGAAACATTTTCTGTTGTGTCTGCTCTTAATTCTCCATACTAGCATATCATGTTTCAGGTAACTTTTAATAATAACACTTCATCTATCTGTCCAAACTAGATTCGATGAAGATCAAAACACAGGATTTCCATCAAGAAATTATCTTAAATATGATCTCGGACTGACGGTCGCTTTTATACATTTCTCTTCGCTTATCTTCTTTGACCAACCTTACCATAGTGTCAAGTTGTTTTTGAATGGTCAGCATTGATTAAAAGCTGCTGAGTGTTTCTATCCACCGCAAACCCTTTGTGGTGATGTAATTCACTTGAGGTAGCGATGAATGTCATCTCTGCTTTTTAGACCCAGTGACACCAAATCCCAAAACACATAGTGAGGTCTTGAGGCAAGATGATTGACAGGTCTGTTATTTGGACCCAGCAACACCTAATCTAATAACGCACAGCAGAGTGACTCTATGTACAAACCGGTAAGAGAGGTTAAGATTTTGTAAGAGTTATTCCTCTTTGTACAGTTTGTAGAAAATATATTGACCATTCTTTCAACAATCATCTGACCTTTTAAGCGTTTTTTTGTTGGTTTCACATGTTTATTTACATGCACTTTGTTGCCATGACCTTGAGATTTAACGAAGATACTAATCGGGATGTATTTTTTTTAAATGTTTTGTGAAATCAACTGTTTTAAAGAATTTTGAAATTTCCCTTTTTTAATTATTTGATTCCTGTAACATTGAACAAAGGTCAATGTTAGTGGGGTTTTTTGGGGTCCCACAACAGGACTGAACATAGCAGTAAAAGGGACCACACCAACTGAAATGACACCACTTCTGGTAAGGACACCATGCTATGCCAGGAGCGATGCATACACCAGGATCAACTACGCCAACAGGAGAAACGTTACAACAAGTACTGACAAAACCAGAAGGAATTAAGACAACAGCAGGATGGACACAACCAGCACTAAAACTGAGGGATTCCACAATCAGGATTGACACAAACACTAGGAAAGACAAACACAACTGGAAGGATCTGACACCATCAGCAGAGGGGACATCACCACTGATAGGAGAACACCATTGCTAGAAGAGATGCAATACCAGGGATCACACCACCACATGACGACATTAACACAAGCACTGATGAAACAACAAGGAATGAGGACAACAGCAGGAATCTTATGCATAGGGGCAAACAAGAATGGAGGAGGGGCAAACATGTATTGGTATAAAGTCGGGGGTAATAGGTATGGGGGATCATAGGTCAAAAAGGAGGTTAATATGATGGAGCTAACGGCTGGGGGGCAATTAGGGGGTTATCAGGAAGTGGGCTAATAGCTAGAGGGCTAACAGGTAGGAAGCACATCAATAGAGTGTTAATGTGAGGCAGTAGTGTTAGGGGTTTACAGGAAGGGAGCTTCAAATAGGAGGCTACAAATGGGGGGCGGTGGTGAGAAAGATAATTGACAGGAGGACCAATGAGTTAAGGGGCTATTGCGGAGCTGTCAGACCAGGAATTTGGTTATTAGGTTAGGGGGATAATAGTTACAGGGGTCAATAGGTACAGGGGTTCACAGGTGGGGGCTACAACTAGGAGGGGGCAATAAGTAGGGGGCTATTATGTAGGGGGCCGCAATGGCTAATAGCTAAGAGGAACAACAACTAGGGGATTAGATGGTTCAGTGGTAAGAGTCAGTGTTAACATGAAGAGGGTAAAATTATTAAAAGGCCTGTGGTTAGGGGGCTAGAAGTAGCAGGGCCAATATTGAAGGAGTTTCAAGTAGGGGTTAAAAGTAGGGGTAAACAGATAGAGGCTAAAAGGTACATTTGTAGGAAGCTCATCGTTATGATCAAATGTTAAGGTGTAGGGGATTAAAGGTTGAAAGGCCTTTTGGGAGGTAGATAAGGGGTATTTGTTTGTTTAGGGTTTAATGACCTTGCAACAGCCAAGGTCATAAGATGACTGGTGCCTAGGGATACACCACCACAAAGAGATAGTATGGTGCAGGGTGCCCTGCATAAGTCATCGTTTACAATACATATGCGGTGGGATACTGCAGGTACACCTGTATAATTTGAAATATTCTTGATTTCTTTAATTTACCCTAAACATGTTCAGAGGACAAGGAAGAAACCATTCCAATTTTGCAGGATAAGTATAGGGAGGGCACATAACCGCAGGCCTTTTCCTGTCCTGAACCTGCAAGGGTTGGGTACAGAACATATTTAGGTGGCTAACGAAAAGAGGGAGGACATGTAGGGGGCACATTGATATAGGTTGTTAATGCTGGGGAGAAGGGTTAACAACTTAACAGTAAGAACAGTAATGAGTAATTAAAGGGACTAAAACGCAGGGATAATGGGTACAGGGGTTTATATGTTAGGTGGCGGCTTATGGGAATGTGGCTATCAGGTAGAGGATTCATGTTTAGGATGCAATATGATACAAATAAATGGATAGGGCCTACATTCAAAGGGCTAACAGGGTAGCGAATGGGGATGGGGCTAACTGGTAGGAGAAAAACTAAAGAGGAAGGGCTTAATGGGTAGGAGCGAGGAGAGGGTGAATGGGTCTTAATGTCTGTTTACCTTCTGATAAACCTAACATCCTTAATCTTGCCATGAAGAGAAGTCTGTTTTAATCCTGTCAGATGTCAGCTGATTGAGTGCATCCTCTTCTCTAGGAGAAATAGTCATTAATTTCATCATGCATAAGATCTGTAGCGGATTGGACTGGGTAGATCAGCAACCAGGTAGCTCAACTGGTAGAGTGTCCGTCCAGAGGTCTGAGGGTCCTTGGTTCAAATCCTGGTCTGCCCGTGCATTTCTCTTTCTTCTTTTTCAAAAATTGGGGAGTTTTTCCTACCCGTGCTTCAAGCACTGGGTTAATGCTTGACAAGGGGATACTCCAATCTGGCTTAATGTAAAATAGTTATCCCTGGAGGTGAAGATTAGAAAATAGCCGAACTGGACTGGACGGTCAATTGTCGGTGACCAGGCAGCTCAATCACTAGAATTTCCGTCTCGAGTACAGAGGCTTTCAGGCTTGAATCCGATCTGGTCGTGCACAGATCTGTCACCAGTATATTTGTGTCAAATCATAAATACAAAATGTTGTAAGTATACAAATACTTGCCAACTTTTTTGAAATTTCCAGGGGGGGGAGGGGGGGGGGGGGGGGGGGGGGGGGGGGGGGCTGAATCGGGAGTCTCTATCCTAAAAATTAAAAGTTTGCATGTTTGTATACATCTTTAAATTGTTCTATTAGGAATCCGTTTACCCACAGGTTTATATAAAGTTTACTAGCCATACCTAATATAATAGATTAGTGTCTATGTTTACCCACGTACACGTGTTTTGTTAGCAACGCAAAACTTGAATGGTCCCTAGATGATATAATACAGCTCGTATGTAACGAATTATTCAGTCAGATGTCAGTTAAATAACTACTCAAGAGTTACCAAATAGCATCATAAGGTGTCGACCATAATCCCAAACCGTGTATTCTAAGCACTGAATTATTTCAAAACATTCATCTCATTCCAGCAAAGCGAAAGTAATGCGCTGCCATGTATATTGTTTGGCTTGCGATCTGAAAACGGTCACGTCATGTACCGGGGATGATAAATATATCCAGTATAAATAATTAACGGTTGAATACACAAATTAATACAATAATGCATATACAGTATTATTAGATTGTTATATTTGTAATTATTTATTAATCCTCTTATCTCATTTTTTATATTTATTAGTCGCAATCGGTCTAGCACTGCGGATTGTTCACACTCAGAACGTTTTTGTTTATTGTATTTCGTTCATTTCAATATTAAGGATCCCTGTACCACTTCCTAAAACTGATTTAGAAACTGTTCCTTCTGACAGGACTCTAGCTTTGAAAAAAATACATCTCTTAAAGAAAACCATACCTTGTCGTACATTGATGAAAAATTAATCAAGATGAAAGAAACTTAATATATTTAACAACAGTGTTATGAAAGCAAACAAATAGCTGAACTAGACCGAATTTGGACCTTGGACTTCTCTCTTACCTTCTGAGCTTTCTCGTCAACGGAAGTTTTCTGGCCATTCTGCGCTTCAGTCGTATTAAAAGGAAACAAAGGGGAAGTTACGGTATATAAGAAAAACTAGATTGCAGTGGGACGGGGATATTGAAGCGTTGGAAAATATATGGATTGTACAATATTTAAGAAGAAGACGAGAAATCAAAACCTATGACGAAGAAATGGATAATCATTTAGTTACAAATATATATAGGATCTTGCATGAGTTTCTATTTCATATGAGATTTATGAAACAAGTCTAAGAATTTTTCAATTAAACGAGCCTCTGGCAAGCTAAAATGAAAAATTGTGACGAGTTTCATAAATTTCATATGAAAGAAATCGAGTATAAGATCCTGTTCATCACATTATCAAGATGTGTGGCATTTATTCGTGTAAAATAACAATTTTCATGCAACCTTGAAATGTAAAAAGCCGCCGTTTTGACTCCCAGTGCGTAAGTCTGTGACGTCATGTCCTTGTCCTTGTCGTGATGTCACAATTGAAACAATAACAACTTATAACCAATCACAGGGCTGATAGGTCATATAACATGAGTAATACGCAAAGAAATATGACATGGGTATATTCACTGGATAACACAGTAAATTATTTGATAAAAATGTATACATGACAAACTCGATAGGATGTTCGCAGAAATTAACATATTATTCATAAGTCCATCAAGGCTTTGAAGTCGGGTGTCGCTCCTCTGTAATCTTCAAAGGACAAGAAGTCATACAAGCGATTGGTCACTTGTTTGTTTTTACCTGAGACCAATCAAATAGCTAACCGTGTGCTTTCAATGTTTATATGGCAAATTCCATGTGTGCAGAGAGCGAAAGTGATCGTGTCACAAGTAAACGTCATCACCGATGAGTCGTAGAAGGACGAAACAGCTGTATGGTGTAATGAATTTATTTTAGGCATACTGTATAAGTTACTAATTTTCATAGGTACAGTCCCGTATGTGTTTCCTAGTACAGGTTCATGTTTGAATGTGTTCATGAATTAACAAATCACTGTCACGAACCTGTCAATACTTAACTCGTTGAAATATTTTAATATAATTTTAATAGAGAATGTTTCATCACCAGTTTAGTATATTCATAGATAAAAATAATATAAATCAGAGAGCATTCCCAAGTTTACCTTATCGATGTTCTGTCATCCGGTATAATCGTTATATTTATAGTTTCTGCTTCCCCTCCTAACCCCTCCCAGCCCGTGTCACAACATTGATATGGAAAAAATGACGTGTCTGTGTATATGATATGACAGTGAGCTAACGCAAATGGATGTCTCCACAACAGGTCGTAATTTCACAATTTGTTTACTCGGTAACTAGGAGTAATAAGCGACGATCGAAACACGCCACTTTGTGCTCTTCCTAACAAACATTGTTTGTAACTAAAGGTGCATGCTATTTATAGTGTTTATAATATGTCCTTGTTTGTACTTGGTTCCGTCAAAAAACTTCCTTGTAAACTGGTGTATACCTATACTATAGGACAATGAGCACGTGTGCATTGCTTATACGTGAACTTGAATCACCAAATACGTTAATAAATGGAGGCTTACCTTATACGACCGACTAAATCTTTAAAAGATCTTTGAACCGGAACGACGCTTCTCTAGTCAATAATAGCAGTTGAATTCAAAACAACTTTCTCAATGAGGCATTTACACGAACGTGTACAATGTTTTTAGAACTTTGGTGTCTTTATTGGGAGTTTTAAACGAACGGCAATATTAAAGGTGTTTTAAAAAGAAAATGGGGCAACAATATTCTTCTGTATAATTTTACAGTAAAAATTGTGTGGCCAAAACATATCGCCAAACTGAACTGTGACATGACCTGGTTTGAAGTGACGATACCCAAGCCGCCATGATGAGCCCTTCTCACTGATCGTAATTATGATCAATAAAATGTATTTAATTATGTCTTTCACCAGGAGATATGCACCAGTGGTTACTAAACATCGAATTACTTATTAATTGATATTTTTTTGTAAGCAAGTAAATGTTTTATGTAAAATATTGCTAAAATGAATTGATGTATGCCGATATGCGCACACGTGTTAGTCATGTGTGATCAGATATTTCAAAGGAAACAACGAAATATACATTTTACGCAATTTCTTCTTAGTTTTAACATTATTGTACCTGTAAACAACACTTATGAACTCACTTATAATAAACAAATTACAAAAATCTTAAGAATCCCAATCGGTTTGTCTTTCATTTTCAGAGAACGATTTTCGGAACTTGAACATCGTTTTTTTTCCAAAATATTTTGGTGCTCAGATATTTGAGTAGAAGCTCTTTTTAGGATTTTCAGCCTCAAAAAGTACCTGCGCAAATTACATAGGTGCGCAAATTACATGGGTTTTTACGGTATAAAGATTATGGTAAGATTTCTAGACTTTACGTCATGAAATCTTTTATTTATTGAAGAAAACGCTTAATGTTTAACTATTGGACGATTTAGTCGCAAATAAAGATGCCGAGGTCCTTTGATCATAGTTCAATTACCACAGAAAAGCTGCAATGTTTTCAATAACGTTATAGGTGTATGCAATGTTGAAATGATAAAAGTGGCTAAAAAGTATCTGGGAGGGTAAGAACAGTGATTGAACTGTAGTTTAAAGGATTATTGTATATTGAGTGTTATTGTTGAACCAGTTTAGGTTTATATCATTAACAAACACATGCATATCCAAAAAATATTGTTTATTATTTCAAACCAAAATGTGAAATATAAATTGAAATGTTGACGCATGAAAAAAAAGCAAAAATTAAAAATATATATATCAGCTAAATCTATCCATATCCATGAACATAAAATATCTATCTTGACAATTACAAATTTAACCTTCAATTATACAGATATAATTTTCATTTACCACAAGGCTGTATTTCCCTTGAAATCGACATGTTCAGAAAGTGTAAAATTAATGATTATTTGAATTCATTCATATTAGATATATATTAACATTAATACGTAAATTAACAGTTTCCTACATTTGTCTTTAAGCGGACAGGTAACTTTTCATTTTCCTATGATGTTTTTGACATGTCTTTCATTTATTAATACAGGCTCAAAGCAGTTGGTCATTTACACCTAGTATCAAATTCAAATATAATGTTAAACAATCTGTATTATAAATATCACTTTAGAATAATGGAATATATCCAGTGTGTGGGATGTTACGACACTTTTCATTGGTTACAACCACACACTAAACACACTGTATTGATAAATACCACTTACTTATAACTTAATCTCTACCATGTGTGTGATGTAATGACACTTTTCTTTGGTTACAACCACGCACTAAACACACTGTATTGATAAATACCACTTACTTATGACTTAATCTCTACCATGTGTGTGATGTTACGCCACTTTTCGTTGGTTACGACCACACACTAAACACACTGTATTGATAAATACTACACTAGTTTTGAATCTCTACCATGTTTGCGATGTAACGACACTTTTAATTAGTTATAACCACATACTATTGGACAATAATATATGAGCATGCATATATTATTTTCGAACTAACCCATTCACCCCTGAAACCACATTTGAACTCTTCCAATTCAAAGGATGGAATAGTTCATTGTGCAGGAGTTGGTTTCTTTTGCCGAGTGATGATGCTACACGCATTTGTTAGATATATTGTGGTTGTGCTAACAAAAAAACCAGTTAACCAAGTTCGCGATCAGAATGTTCCACTCAACTTGTTCGGAATGGTACTTGAAAACTTGATCGTAAGTTTAGGAGTGATTGCACAGTTAATTCTTTGCAGAATCGAGAAACCAAATGGCAACTGCAAGTGCAACTTGCGGGATTTTTATACCCAAAAAGGTACACATACAAAAACTTCACTCAACTTAGTCAGAGTGATAGGACAAGCTCAGGAAGGATGCGTCATCTTTGGTTAATAGAATTTCTAGTAAATTAATGATTGATCAACAAATAATAAGGCACACATCATCTTTCCCAAATATATCTTAATTTCAAATGTAGCAGGCAAAAAAGAGCAACAGGCTCACAACATCAAAAAGGGTAAACACGCGAAACCTGTTAAATACATAAGTAAAGAGCGTGGCTATAGGGTTAATACGAAAACACATTTCAATTACAAAGTACTTGGTAAAATAGATATAATCAATAATTGTTATTTATAAAATTGTAAAATATATAAATCTATTTTTTTTTAAATCACTCAGGCTTAATACGGACTTATTTAATATTTTTCGGTTGTTTCTCAACCTCGCTATATATTTTCCCACAATCTATGTGGATGGTCATGTTCCTAGGTTCTCTGTGTGTAGCCTTTAGCCACACGTAATCTGTTATGACGTCCATACTGCTTGTTTGGAGTTAGTACTTCTCTGGTTGATTGGGATGGTTTACTGCTGGTTGAGGTGGATAAGCCGGTCCGGCTTGCCCCCCATGTGGTTGAGGTTGGGCTCCATATGGTGGAGGAGGAGGGCCCCCATATGCTGGTTGTGGATAAGCCCCATATGGTTGAGGTTGTCCCCCATACTGTGGAGGAGGAGGATAGGCCGGCTGAGGATAGGCTCCGTGCGGCTGTTGTTGCATTTGCTGTTGGGTGGTACTGTTAACTATAAAAACATAATGAATTTTCTGAGTATGTATACTTGTACAAATGTTTGTGTATATCTATGTACATTTATCAGTATAAGTATCATTTACTGCCATATCTAGAAGTATACTACATAATTTGAAATGTTCTTTGGTATTTTCTTTAGTGGTTTGAAGCAACCACGAAAATCACGAATGTTTATTGTATATTGAAGATTGAAGATTGAAGATTTTCTTAAAATTTATTTAACAAAGCACTATAGAATATTCATGTAACTATGAAATAGCTAGGTTATAGAATAGTACACTCATAAATTCCATTATTAGCAGAGTGATCATGGCACTATAATTAATAGCATCACTTTCAATATAATGTTTAGCTTTGAGTGAGATTAAATATCAAGCCTATTAGTTTGACAAATGTATTCAGATATACTTTGTAAAATGGATATGTTGATATCAGCGCTGCAGTGTATTAAGCAGGTATTGTCTTTAGTGGTTTGAAGCGAGTGTTTCTTTCGTGCAACTAACATTCATGGATACCTCTTACAAACAGTAGTTAACTATGTCAGTCAAATTCGTTGTATTATTTATTTGCTTGGCTCCATAGCAACCACGAAAACCACGAATGTTTATTGCATATTGAAGATTAATATTAAACATGTATATTACGATATTCTAATGTGTAATGGTATATTAGCAGATAATTAATTAACGAATGTCATTCACTCTATCTGTTCCATCAGGTTAAGTTAAACAAGAATGATATCTTTCGCTGGAAACAGCAATGCAGGATATGTATAACACAGAATTCAAAATAAGCACTGACATTTCTGCGATTTTTTTTTTTTTTATTTCATATGAAAGTTGTACACAGAACACTACATCTCCAGCACACACGCAGGTAAACACACATAGGAAGATATTAGCCAGGTGGCAAAGAACTAGTAGCTAGCGCCTGCTAAGGCTGCTCTTGTGAATTCCTAAAAAAATATATTGATTAATATATGTTAATTGTATTAATTGTATATCTATGTACTAACTACTGATTGGGTGAAAAAGATCTTGAGTTCAAGGCCTGGACAAGTCATACACTTGAATCGTCCGAGCTACATAATGAACAATGGGTCTATGTATCTATCCCAGTTGATGTCGTCTTGCCTACCACAAATGTAAGCCTCTATAATTCCACTTACCGACCGTGACGTTTCCAGTTCCACCAGTTTGCCCTGCGACAATAACACCAGTCCTTTTCCTGTTACAGGACTTGATGACGATGATAAAGACGACGATACAGGCGATGAAGAAAATACAGCCAATGACCGCTCCGGCAATTGTACCACCTCTATGAAAGTATAAACATTATTTGAACAGATATATCATTAATTGAAAGTAATATACAGTATCTATCTTCGTTAATACTAGGCCGATAGGCCTCAGGAAATACGAAATCCTGTAGGGTCATACCATCCCGTATACCCTGCCAAAAATCCGTGTAACGAATTTATTACCCCTTTGAGTCTTTTATATTGGTTTTGTACAGTTCCCCGTCAACTTTTCTGTTGTCAAGATAAAAATGGCACAGTAGATCTACCTCATTTAGTTTCGTTTTATCAAATTCCTCGAACTGTTCTTCCTGATTCTTTTCTTTTAAATACGTCCTCAGCATGTTTGCCGCTCGTCTGTTCGACTTTTGTGTGTTTTGTGGCACATAGTTAGCCCTTTTGGCGATTATTTCCTCATCAGTATGCGAAGCGAAACGTTTTGTCATTTTGTAAACATCGCCGGAAGCAGACGACGAATGCGAGTTGTCTCCCATTGCCCGGCCGCAAAATACAAAGACACGTGACCCGTATACCCCTTGTAAAAGCACGTGATTCCACCGTATTACTGCTGAGAATCACGTGACATGACCGTATACCCCCTGAGATTTTCGTATACCCCTTGAGATTTACGAATGCGGTTTGGTACACTGTAGTTTTTAACCAATCAGATTCCTAGATTTTTCTCAAAGGGGTAATAAATGTATCTATATATGTTTTTGGAGAAAAATATATCATCACATTGTACAGTTGATAATTGGACTAGGTGACTCAATAAGATCTTACACGGTTTTTACAAGAGACTTACATTGTACGTATATATTAGATATGATATCTGGTACTTACGATGAAGTACAGCATTCCCGGTCATAATAATAGCCGCAGCAACCAGTGTCACAATTGATGTAGTAGCTGTAGTAGTAGCTGTAGTAGTAGTATGATGATGTAGATGCAGTACATAATTCAGCAGTCACACCTGTATTAATGAGAGGAAACGAGGAACACATATTACTCAAAATGATTCATTAGAACATGTATAGACCACAGTGATACGTGTACGTCAACCATATATCATGTTTGATACGTCATACGTCAACAGCGATACAGTGTGCGTCCTCTACACAATAATTTCGTGTGAGTCTTCAACGCAACATCATACATGTAGATATATTACAACACCTTTGAAGGGTGTTGTTTTACAATTTGAAAGTATCAATTCTGGAGATTTAGTATGTTGTCCAAATAAAATTTATAACAATCACTTTCTCTAGATCGGTGGGCGATTTCTGGAGTATCCAAAAACACACCCGCACAGTCCGATGTCTAGGTCTTAACTGATATTACGAAACATAACCATGTCGTTAAGTACATTTACCAGTTAATCCTGTTACGTAATATAATTAAGTTAAACTAGAAATATGTCAAAATGAAAGTCATCCCATCATTTTCCAATTAATAATTGACCAGGCTACAACTGATATATTTCCACCTGTCAATCAAAATGGTAAGCAATGACCAGGTGTAAATACATACACGCTGTTCAGGTAGCTATGCCAACACATGGAATTAATAAGAAAGCATGTCGCAAATATAACGTTAGCGTTGACTGACACCTCGAATACAGGGATATCTTCGCGCTGACACAGTCACCTGGCATGGGCGGAAAAGGTAATTGGAATATCAAGATGTTGTTTTCACAACAAGAAGTTTCAGCAAAGATTCAATCTTGTATACGGATCAATCTTTTACTTTTTTGGTTATAAAATACACTGTATGTACGCTTTAAGGGAGTCAATCAAACAGGTCCGACAAATTCGCGAGACATGAAGAACACCAAACAATTGTGATTTCAGCATTTCTTATTTGAAATGAAAAGATCGGAATGTATTTGGCTGTTTTGAGCACGTTAATATTTATTTTTCAAACTCAAACTTTTACCATTATCGGTTCATTACACTGACTCTTTGCGGTATACAAACTTGCAAACTCAGCCACTTTCCCCAAGTCGTTTTGACACATTCCTACAGTCAAGATTGAATAGTTCAGCATGATTTTACCAAAGAACGACATTTTAACCCCAGAGTGGTAAATGCGATGAAATGCTTCGCTATGTTTCCCAATACGTGATATTTATAAATTCACAACGTAAAGTCCTGAAAACTAGGCGTACCAGTTATTTCAAAATCCCGAAAAATATTTACGATAAATAGTCGCGACCAAAGATTGGTATTGGATTGTTAATGAGTATCGTGTACACCCCTTTATTGACACATCATTTTTCCTTAAAAAAAGTGCGCAATATACGCTCATGTTTATTGAAGTCATTGGTCAGACACACAAAATCTAAATCAATCAACTTCAATTTGTAATGTAACAGGAGAGGCAAAATGCACGGACAGACCGGGGTTCAAACCCAGGACCTTCCAAATTCTAAACAGACGCACAACCAATTGAGCTATCAGGTCGCCGACGATCAACCCAGTCCAGTTTCGTTACAGTAATATAACATTTTACCCCTTCGGGAACCTCAAAGGTGTCTGATTCATACTCGGAACATCTTAAGGTTTTATGTCATTCCCGTGTGAATTTTGGAACGCGTTTAGGTTTTATGCTTTTCCTGTTAAAAAAGAAAATTGATATCAGAGCTATTCAAGAGCTTGTAATTAGCGCCTATTATTAGCTCACCGGGTCCGAAGGACCAAGGTGAGCTTATGCCATACCGTGGCGTCCGTCGTCCGTACGAAAACAATTTCTTTTAACGACTTCTTCTTCTTAACCACTCATTCGAATTCAACTAAATGTTACTGGAAGCATCCTAAGGTGGTGGGGATTCAAAAGTGTACACATGGTGGGGCTAAGTTGCGGGGCCAAAAGGGGGCAATTTGGCTATATTGCTACACATGTACACGACTTCTTCTGTAGAACTATGCACTGGATATCAATAATTTTTGATCAAAAGCATTCATGGGAGGCAGGGATTCAAATTGTACAAATGGTGTGGCTGACCCCCCAGGGGACTGAGGGTCGGGGCCAAAAACGGTTATTTGGCTATACTGATTTAAGCGAATTCTTCTCTGGAACTAAGTGATGGATACCAACCATATTTGACTGGAAGCATCCCAAAGTAGTGGTGATTCAACATTGTACAAATAGTTAGGCTGACCCCAAGGGGGCTGAGGGCGGGGCCAAAAGGGGGCAATTTGGCTATATTGCTACAAACGACTTCTCCTCTGTAGAACCATGCAATGGATATCAATCATATTTGATCAAAAGCATTCATGGGAGGCAGGGATTCAAAATTGATCAAATGGTGAGGCTGATCCCTCAGGGGGCTGACGGGCGGGGCCAAAAAGGGTATTTGGCTATATTGCTTTAAGCGACTTCTTCTCTGGAACTAAGTGATGGATATGAAACATATTTGACTGGAATCATCCCTAGGTGGTGGAGATTCAAAATTGTACAAATGGATGGGCTGACCCCCAGGGGGCTGAGGGGCAGGGCCAATAGGGGTCAATTTGGTTATATTGCTGTAAGCGACTTCTTCTCTGCAACTCAGATATGGATATCAACCATATTTGCCTGAAAGCATCCATAGGTAGTGGAGATTCAAAATTGTACAAATGGTTGGGCTGACCCCCCCCCCCNCCCCCTCCGGGCTAAGGGGTGGGGCCAAAAAAGTGTATTACTTGGAAATGGTTGAGATCCCTACCGTATAACCATATATACAATTGCTGAGTATAAAGAGAAGAATGCACATTTGCTTCCTGGATGGCCCTAGGGTCTGGCCCTACCACGGTCACAACTTTGAAATGGTTAAGATCCCCACCCCAAAACTATATAAACAAATGAAAAAACGAGAACGAAAAAGAGACGAATGTAGTCATGATATTAGAATAGACCCTTGGGTCTGACCAAACCCCTAGGGACCTAGTTTCTAAGGCACAGCTTGGAAACAGTTGAGATCCCCACCCTAAAACCATATATACAATTGCTGAGTATAAAGAGATGACTGCACATATCCTTCTAGGATGGCCTTGGAGACTTAACCCCTAGGTCATAACTTTGCAATGGTTAAGATCCACAACTCAAAACTATATATGCAATTGTTGGGCATAAAGAGACGAATGCATTCATGATATTAGAATTGACCCCAGGGTCTGCCCCACCATTGCAGACCTAACCCGTGGGTCATAACTTTAAAACGGTTGAGATCCCCACCCCAAAACTATAACATTAANGGGGGGGGGGGGGGGGGGGGGGGGGGGGAGGGGAAGGAATATAGATGTCCGTGCCAATGAGAATAAAGGAAAGGAAACAGGTGATGTGAAACAATGGATCGTTGTTAATGAATAGAACTTAGTCAAATCCTTTAGAATGGATGATGAAGTTTTGTACAGATGAATAAATTAAAGCATTTTCATCATCTGTAAGCTCATCATTCCAGAAGAAAAGTAAATCAGTTAATAGACGATGGTTGATTTCGTTAAATGTATGTAAACACTCCATTCTTAATCTAGCCTGCTATATCTGCCCCAGTCTGGTACCATTAAAGTAGAAAATTTGAATTGTGTAAGCGGGCTTGCGTAGATAGATTTTAAGTTTATAAATTGAAGGGTCGTTCTTGACATAGTCAGGCAAGAAGTTCATGATACTGATGACAGATGGCAAAAAAAGATGTATTATAGGGACTCGTATGACAAACTAGTAGACGAAAATTATTACCAGTGCGAGTATCATAGTTGTGGTAATTTCGGTTACGCTGAGTTAGAATATTTAGAAGATATTGAGGAGCTAGACCATGAACAATTTTGTGGAAAAGAATAAGCTTGTGCTGTTTACGTCTTTCCTCGAGGGGAAGCCAACCTGTTTCAGTATACAGTTTAATTATACTTGTGAGTCTAGTGCCGCCAGTGACTTTAAGTGCTAGCCATCTTAAGAACCGGTAAGAGATGTTAAAATGTCTTGTGTTCTAGTTCCCAAATTTGGTCTGATGTTACCTATATGTCAGTTTCATGTAACAAAAGAAACATGTGAGAGATACAGGCCCTCTGGGCCTCTTGTTTAAATAGGAACGAGTATGAATAAGTGTATTTCTACCAACAAGTGCACGACGTCTGGAAAGAGTGCTGGAATATTGAATTAGTAGCAGATAGTAGGACAATAACGGAAAAAAACATAATTACACTCACTCACTCTCATATATTACCATTTGTACTTGTTATATGTTGTATTATGAGAACTTACATATATAAAGACATTACATCAAAAATAATAAAATAATTAATAGGATCATTAACTGTATTTCTGTTTGTTTCTAGAATAATTTATTAGAACATAGGAGATAGCGAGCAGCAACTAATTAAGCATCATAGTTATAACACCGGTATTTTGAAAACTTTGAATATATATATACTGTATGTGTAAATATTTGTATTTACGTTTCGTTGTTCTTTTTCCTTAATTCAAATGCAATTTCGATGAAATTTTAACCTTTGATTATTTCAAGGTAATTGAGTGTTCCATGTATATAATAGTGAATGACTAATACTTATATTAAGAACTACAAATAATTTCAAAACGATGGTTATTTATCATCGAGATGATTATTTGAAGCTCAACATTGGCTATTATCTGTGTAATTTTACTTGTTCCTAACATGAAAGAATCTGAACAAGTTTATGAAATTACCAATGATTTCTTTTGTAAAGTCGATGGAAATCATAAAGTAACACATCTGTACACACCTGTTTGATTCATTTAGACAACAGTGTAGGGATTATGTCCACGTGTGATGTGATTGACATGTATTTAGGTATGACTTTAGTCACGTGTCATCTGAACAAGTTTCACACCTGACCATTGATTGACAGGTGATGCTTGTACAAACAACAATAACTTCTGTATTTCTTCAATTTCTTTCCGAATTATAATAAATCATTCCCGCGATAATTAACTTCATAAATAATGAAATTCGTT